GAGCTTTCCTGCCGAAGCGGCTGATTGGATATGCTAAAGATAGTATTTCAATTATTGAGAGTGGAAATGATAATTTTCTTTGTAGTAAAAATCGAGTCCGATACGTCAAACGTGCTGGAATGACAGTTAAAATCTTGACATAAACCACGGAATGATTCGTTTAGTTCAAAATTAGTTTTGCATGGCTTTAAAAATAGAGGTCGAAAGTGTCTTGACACTCGAGAAGGAACATTAAAATTTACCTCAGCCAGGAGGGCCGGGCTATTAATCAAGCCTGTCATTAATTTTACGATAAATATTATACCCAGCATTTCTCTACGACTTGCGAGTGTAGGCAAATTTATGAGCTTTAGACGACTTGTGTAAGGGGGGAGATTGTAATCTGAATCCCAGTTAAAATTACGCAATGCAAAAAGCAAGAATTGTTTTTGAATTGATTCAGTCCTTTCTGAATGAACTTGGTAGCGGGGATTCCAAACAATAGATTCGTATTCTAGTATAGGTCTAACTAAACTGGTAAAAAGAGCTTTTGTAACATAAGGATCTTTGAACTCTTTTGACCATCGCCTTACAAATGCAAAAACGCCTTTGGCTTTATTGACTGTAACATTAATATGATGGTTGAAATTGAGTTTGGAATCCATTGTGATACCAAGATCGACAAAATTGGATACCTGCTCCAGATTATAATTTGATATTGAATAAACAGCTGGTTGAACAGCCCTCCGAGAGAAACACATAACTTTACATTTTTGAAGGTTTAGTGGCATATAGTTTGTATTACACCAACTAACCACGTTGTTCAGATCCGCTTGTAACAAAGACCTTTCTTCGATAGAGGACAATGTTTTAAAAAGTTTCACATCATCGGCATACATTAAAATTTTTGAATGTTTTATTATAGAAGAAATATCATTAATGAATATGAGGAACAGAGTCGGACCAAGGTGGCTTCCCTGAGGAACTCCTGAAGAAACTTTAATGATGTTGGAAGAACAATTATTAACAATAACTCTTTGTGTTCTATCAGAGAGGTAAGATGAGATCCATTGAAGAAGACTGGGCTGAAAGCCGATTAGGTCGAGTTTACGGATGAGTAACGAGTGACATACTTTGTCAAAAGCTTTACTGAAATCGGTGTAAATTACGTCGGTATGAGCATTTTCTCTAAAACCGTTTGAGACATGAGTTGTAAACTCCAATAAATTAGTCATAGTAGATTTTCCTTTAGAAAACCCGTGTTGAGATTGTGTAATTGAAGAAGATATAGAATATGTCAGCTGGTTAACAATAATTGCTTCGAATAATTTGGGGATAGCGGAGAGTTTTGCTATGCCTCGATAGTTTTCTATAGACGACCTGCTGCCGTTTTTGTGAAGTGGTATTATGAAAGACTCCTTCCAGGCTGACGGAAAAACGCCATGTTTAAGTGACAAATTGAATAGAGTTGTTAAAGGCTCGCAGATGTTCTCAGCGCAGTTTTTAAGAAAACAGGTCGGAATATGATCAGGTCCAGGCCTAAATGACGCTTTTAAGGTTTTTAAAGAGTGTAAAACTTCATCGGAAGATATTACTGGAATATAAGCAGAGTTGATTGGACAAAGCTCGTACGGATAGTCTCCACTTATAGGGAAGTCTACAGAATAATTGGACCTAAAGAACCGAGCAAACATGTTGGCAATGAGTTGGCTGTCGCTAGATACAGTGTTGCGATAATGCATAGCGGACGGAAAACCATGTGCCTTACGCTTTGAATTTACGAAACCATAAAATGATTTAGGATTGTTAATTAAATTCTTCTTAATTTTACATAAATATGAATTATAACATTTCTTATTTAATGCAAAGTAGCTATGCCGCAAAACTGAGTACCTTAGGTAATCACTGTGTAAGCCCGTTCATTTATACAGTTTAAAAGAGTGCGACTTTTTATTTTTCAATTTTTTAAGCTCTTTAGTGAACCATAATTGTATTGGTTCTTCATGAACAATATTACGTATTGGCACATACTTTCGAAACAAATTGAAAACAGTATCATTAAAGTGCTCAACGCTACGCTCCACGTCATCTCTATATATTGGCCAAGATAACTTTGAAAGTTCTTTGTTAATTTTCCTGAAATTTGCTTTCGCAAAAACGTATCTAGTACTTGAACTTGACTTATTATTATGTATTTCATTTATGATTTCGTAGCTTAACTCAAGAGCAGGATGGTATGCATCTTCCGGCAAAACTAGGGGATCACACCGATTAATAGAGGCCTTCGGAACATCATCAACGTAACGAGATCCAAGACCTTTCCAAACTTATTTGGACATATATTTATTTGTTTGAGGCAAAGTTCAGCCATTTCCTCCAGAAATACATTGTAACTATCTCTAGATGAAACTGGTACAACATCGGTGTCAATGATGTTCCATGATATATGTGGCAGATTTAAATCGCCCAAAACAATCATAGAATCGGATGCCGTAAGCATTGCATTTACGGTCTCAAGTAAAGAAACTAGCTGCATATATACCGATACGGCAGAATTAGGAGGGATGTAGCAAAGAGCTAAATAAATATAAGTCTTTCCAGCCTGTACACGTATACATTTAAATTCGGTATATTCAATGACAGGAAGACTAACTTCCTCGGATGGTATCCATGAATGCACCGCAAAAAGAACACCACCGCCGATTCTGCCCACGCGGTCACTCCTGTATATTTGATATTCATTTGGAAGAATTTCGGAATTAAAAATATGAGGTTTGAGCCATGTTTCGGTCAAGGAAATAATATTATAATTGCAGTCAAAACCTTTTAAATATAAGTCAGTTAATTTGGTATTCAAACCTCTAACGGTTTGATAGTAAATACTTAAATTAGACTTGCGAGTTAGTTTTTTGAATCCGAATTAAGATTAAAAATTTTAGCTACGTTATTATTACTTTTATTAGGCTTATACTCAAACTCGCGAACAAACGCCCCGGTCGGCCAAAATGGACTATTTAGTAGTGAATCAAAATCTTCGGAAGCTACATCAATTTTAAAAGATGAAATATCGCGATCGTATTTAAAATTAAATTTACAAATAAATACATCTTGAGTTCTAATTTTAGTCGATATGTATGACTTTATATCATCCGAAGAAGTATCTTTAGCAAATCTAGAGACAAAGATTGATCTTCTCAGAGGAATTACAACCAACTTTTTGGTAATGATGTCTGATGTGCGGGGCTCCGAATTATTCGGAGGAACTAAGTTAGACAGTGGAGCTTGAGATGTTGATGGCAACACTGTTAAATCAACGGTTTGACTATTTTTAGTAGTAGACCTAGTGGATATGGCTTTAGAAATCGGAGGCTCCAATGCCTGAGGGCATGGAGAAGATAAATTAATAAGTTCTAAGGACTGGGATGGAGGATTTTTTTTACTAGAATCCGTGGCTGTCTTTTTAGGTGGACTAATAACATGCCCACCTTTATTTTCTCGGCTATCCTCAGAGTGTGGAGGGTCGTCGAGACAAGTGAAAGACCTAAACATTTTTTCGTAATGCTTAAATTTTTCAACAAGCGCCGACAGATCCTTCCCGATCTCAGAAAAACCATTTCTGGACTGCCTGAAGAATTTAAATAAATCAACTTCGGTTGATCTACATTTTTGACAAGACCAACGAAGACCCTTACCCTCGTTAATAGCGTCTAATACTCTACCGCTCAAACCAGCACATTTTATATGGGCAATCCCATCGCAGAGCCAGCATGACACATAGGAGTCGCTTTTAACGTGGCAATTGGTGTAAATACACGACATGTTTAAAATTATATTTATTTTTAGGTTTTAGAAGCAAAAAAGCAAAAACGGTTTTGAAAACGATGTATTAATCAGTGAACCAATCAGCTGGTAAATATCAGTTAGCGAACAGTTTTAAATGCACATAATAGATCATTATCTCCCTGTCATCTTCAGCGACACTTTAACAAAAAAATGTGGAGCGTTTAGTAGGGATATGAGAATCGTGGTTCGAATGCGATTCACTGGCTGTGGTTTGATGGACGTTAGACCTTACATTGAAATCGTTCTGTATGACCTTCATCAACCCCATCCCGACTCGTTCAGTTCGCCTCTATGTATGTACACATGTTCCGTCTTTGCTATTTAGTTTCAGTACGCATTACATAAGCTACGATAGATGAAAGTCATTGGTAAATGATTTGGCTATGAATCTTTACTTGTTTGCTTTGATCGATTTACCAGCAATGTACTGAGGATATAATATAACAAAACTATGGATATAACAAAACTAAACTTAATTAATTTATTCAGTAATTCATTTCATTTACAACGTAATTATTATTTCAATATCATTCTTCTTTTTTTATTTTTATTTATTTTTTTTACGGGGTTCTCCCGAATTCTCTTTCAGAAAGCGACGACAGATTGGGTTGGTGCAAAGCATCTCTGCGACGAACCATAGACGGGCTTCCCGGAACCCGAACGGTTTCTGTCGGGGTGGTTTCGCTGGATGTTAAGAGTAGACTGCGCCGTGGCAGATCGATGGTGCGGATGAATCGTACCGCACGTGATGTGGTTGGTTGAACAGTGGTTGGCATTGAGGATGAGGGCAGCGTAGACGGCCCCATGGTTGGAGTTCGAATGCTCCGGTCCCTATGGTGCAATTGCTGTTGGTACATTTTCAACAGGTTCCTCGCATGCATGTCCACTTGGGTTAAGAGGGTCACTAGAGTTGGGTCCCCTGTGGTCCTTGGTGTGTTGGGTTCGGTCTCGGATACCGGAGTTGCATTAACCCCCTGCTTTTCTTCGGTTTGTACGGCCACCGTCTTCATTTTCCCACGGGCTTCCACTTTTAGTGGGGTGACCAGGTTATTTCGTAGCGCACGGAGGGATAAACGGTCCTCGCACCGCACCGTGCTACCCGCTTTGTGGTAGCATACCAGTCGAAATGCTAGGTCCCGGTTGACACCATTGTACACCCGCAAAGTTGCCTCGTAGTGAAATGGGTACTATGGCGTACGGAAACCGACAATAAAGGCGGTGTTGTCTAACATGTTGCGTGGTACGCCTTTGGCCAGTGACGTCCTGAAGTCGCTGAAGCCGATTTGGTCAGGAGAACTGATACGTAGATAGCCAATTGCGGCACGGTGTGTCGGCTCGTCATGCCACTGGGCGAAGAGGACGCGAATTTCCCCGCCAGTCGCTTGTGACTCGAATGGCGGTGCATGGACATCGAGGATCGAGGACTTCCCTACCCCACGCAACCGACAAAAAACCGATTCGGCTGCCGACAAGTACGGGCCATCCGAGCCCTTGGGAATCACGGCCAAGAGGTGTTTTTGCGCTTTAGGGTCGACCTCGAGCGCGAATATCGGCAGCGCGTCCTTATGGTCCCACTTGATTGTTAGACGCATCAGATGCTGCACTTGCTGGCCAACCTTCACATACGGCGGGAGTACCATGGTTCTGAAATGGCACTTGAGAGTTAGTTTGAGAATAACTGTGAATCGAAACGGGTGTGGATTTTTATTATGCACCATTACACACAACCAACCCCGTTACTACGTGTACCGCTTACCTCGTCTACTTATAGATATTTAGCGTGCGTAAACGTTTGTGACGGAGAAAATCCCAAGAAAAGTGGCGTCGGTTTTGAGTATTTCCCCGAAGATGGCCCTTTCTGTTCGACTAGTGCCACTACCAAGTTATCAATACGCGATTTATCCGATTGTGGCGGATCGATTGTGGATGCGTTTCGAGCCTTATGGGATATCACATTTGTTTTTGTTTGCTTAAGGAGCCGGGTACCCTGTAATAAGACAGTATCAATGGAATATGGAGGCCCCCCATATATTCATCGAAATTCTTGAGAAGGCGAATGTACTGAATGAGTTAACGTGTTGTGATTAAATCGGCGGAATAATTGCCAAGCACTCGGTGTTTAGCATCGATCAGTTCATATGAATTCGAACCAAGTTTCCGTGAAACATAGCCTCTAATTTTTGGTGGGGCTAGTTTTTGTGCATAGCCCCCTCCGTCCACGCACTGTTTAGGATTGGGAATGTACACTTCCGAGCCTATCTCGAAATGGCGTTCCGTTGTGCGGTTTGTTGATATTGCTCGAACTGTTTGTCTCGAATTTCATCAGCCAGAACTTTACGCTGTTCCACATCCTGTGTATGGTATGGATTTACATCCAATAATTTATATTCGTTTCCATCTTTCACATATTCACGACCAGTGTGCAGGAAATATGGCGTGTAGCCCGTGGCTGAATTCACTGAAGTGTTAATATCATGAATAACACGAGAAAGATGGTTTTCCCAGGAGGAATGTTCAAGAAAGTCAGCCATGTGAGCACGTAATCCAAGTTTAATGCTTTTGTTTGTCGCCTCGACCTGATTGGCTTGTGGATGGTACAAAGGCGTTTTCATGTGTTTGATGTTATAATCGGCGCAAAGTTTTGCGAAGGTTTGACTGATGAATTGAGTACCATTATTTGATATAATGAGTTCGGGGCAGCCATTCACCGTGAATATATGTCGAAGATAATTGACTACGGATATGGCGTTTGCATTTTTCATGGGCTGCGCCAAGACATATCGCGAATAACAGTCGATGGCTACGAAGATCCATTGGTTACGATTTTTAGGCCCTTATTATGAGTTGCATTCGATTTTCGATCTTCGCTGGTTATCGAAGATCGAAGATCGAAAGTGAAATTCGTATTATGAGCTATGCAACCGTGTCGAAATTTTCGTTGAGTATCGAATTTTCTGTCGAACAGAATTTTGCTTTCGATGGGGTAGCGAAGTGTTAGAAAATTGTGAAAAATGTATGATTTTGCATTTGTTTTCTTACTTTTTGGCGGCTAGACACTAATTTTAAACAATTTTTTATCAATTTCATGCAGTTTTAACGTCGTGAGTACAAAACACAAGCTCGAAAGGCTGCTTTTACTTGTGAAGGAAAATCCCAATACTCAGCTGGCACGATCTCTGAGAACAAATCATAGAGCTGTGGATAGTTTTAAAATATTTTAAATAGATTTGGCTCACAAACGCCTCTTTAGACAGTCGGAGGTTTTTAGTAAATCTGTAGACAAATTTCTTAAATATATTTCATGTCAAAATATATTGTAAAGACTACACTTAAACTCTTAAACATTTACTACTCCTGGTCAGTTCACTAAACTCTCATCCTCTGACGAATCGTTGAACCCCAGAACTTCGTTGTACTATTTTTTACCACGTTTTTATAAACTTGCTTTCTTTTTTATTTCATTTTAATTTGCACAAATTTACATAAATATGTGTAAGCGCACTATTTAGTTTGCTCGATTTGTAAACAAAGCTTCTCAGCGGTGAAAAATATGCTATTGTGGACAACATAAACGAGCGAAGTTCACAATAGCGCTATTCTTCATCGAATGAGCGCCATAATACCACTTGAAAATTCGTTCCATCAGCACTTTCGACCACAGTCGAAGATCGAATGTAACTCATAATAGGGGCCTTAGACATGGGCAGCTTACCAACGAAGTCAATCGATAATTGCCTACCCGGTCGTTTTGGTTCTCTATATTCGCGGTGAGGTGTTTTGGTGCTCTCATTACTTGCACCCCTATTGCGAGTGTCGACTGGCAGTAGATAAACGACTATTAAGCGATTATCGATTATCGATGGTATTGTGAGTGTCGCTTAGTCGCTCAATTAGCGACTGTGAATACTTTTTAATCGCTCATCCTTCTATTGCTGTTTTTTAGTCGTTGGAGTTTGCGTTTATAAAATTTACATAAGAAAGTGGTACTATAATGGATAAAAAGTAAGTCAATTGAATTGGAAGTTGTAAAAAATTGTGAAACATACATATGTATGTACATATGTGTCTGAATTACAGATCAAAAATTGTAAGCAACAAAAGGCAACTTGCGCGGTTGGTCGAGCTGATGCAGGAGAGTGAGGACATAGGCAAAGGAATTTCCGTAAAGAGCAGTGGAGGAAGCTCCGCTTCTTTTTTGAAAGATATACAATATTTCTTGTGCATATAATTCCGGCTACGCCATCCACAGTGTTTTTGCGCAGAACCAACATCAAAGTTTACAAAATACTGCATAATTTATTAATTAACTAGTGCTCGGAAACTTGAAATCTTTATGTTAAATTAAAGTTTAATTCTTTCACTACACTTGTATGTTAAAGTTTTAAAACTCGGGTCACGCGTTTGGACACAAATACTCAACATTATTGTACAAATAACTAAACGGTACCGTATTTCTTAAACTTCCATAAAATTTATTAATGAGGAAAACAGCTTTTCCTGCAAATCCTGTAAAACCTAAAAACCTTGAAGCATCGAGAACGCAACTTCTATTCATAAAATTCACATATGTACATACACTTCATCTTCCAACTCCAAGGGATCCGACGAATCTCGCAATTCCCTCCTTGCTTTAGCCAACTCTACTAATCTATTAGCTTCCACATCATCTTCCTCATCACTAAACCATATTTCAACTGTGTCCATTTTTTTAATTTTATAATAAAAGCAATTATTTTAAAAACGATGTAAATGAAACATTAAAGAAACAAATGTAAACAAACAAACAGCTGTTTACAATTCCGTCAACCATTCACAATAGTACAAATTTTTATCGATCAAGTTACACAATAGCATAATAAAAGATGATCGACTCGATCGACAAATTTCTATTCTACTGCCAGTCGACACTCGCAATAGGGGCCTTGGTTTAATGCGGTGGCATAGTTCACACTGCCGAACGTACTGGTAAACGGACTCATACATGTTTGGCCAGTAATAGCGTTGTGAGATACGTCTATAAGTTTTCCAAACACCCTGATGCGAATGTTGGTTATGATTTTCATCGAGGACTTTTGCTCTGTCAGAAGATGGTACACAAAGTGTGCACAGTATTTCCGCAGTTTGATTGGAAAATTTCAATCGATGATATAGAAGGTTGTTCTCGATTTTATATCTATCTAATGGTTGTTTTGAGGCCATGGCATGCATTTTGTTGTACCATTTATCGCACGTGTTTGGGTCAATGTTGATTCCGGATGTGATTGGGATACGATTAACGTGAAAATTACTTGGAAGGTCAATTGGATTTCTACGAACGATGTTGAGAAGAACAAAAGAACGAGATAAGGCGTCAGGAAGTTCTAAATGTTTTCCTGGTTTATGAATAATTTTGAGATCGTATGGTGATAATCGGATCGCCCAACGGCATAAACAGCCAGTTGGTTCTTTGAGAGTTTGTAGCCAGTGCAAAGCTGCATGGTCCGTTACCACAACCAATTCACGACCCTCAAAATATGGACGGAACTTTTCGACCGCTAAGAGAACGGCTAGGCATTCCCGTTCAGATGCTGTGTAATTTTGTTCGGCTTTCGAGAATTTCTTAGAAAAATACTGAACCACACGTTCATTCCCATCATGTTCTTGTACTAGAACAGCTACCGCTGCGATCAGCGAGGCATCGGTATAAACCTTGAATGGTTTTGAATAATCGGCCATAGTCAGAACGGGAGTGGTAGTTAAACACTCTTTGAGTTTGAGAAAGGCTTGTTCAGCAGCGGTATTCCTTTCAATGGGTCCTTTTCGGTTTCCTTTATATAATTCACAAAGGGCAGCTGTGATCTCCGAAAAATTTGGAATAAAATTACGGTACCAGCCTGCTGCACCAACGAACCGTCTGACTTCTTTTGCCGTTTTGGGCCGTGCAAATTCAACAATAGCTCGAATACAAGATGGATTCGCAGATAGACCCTCTTGCACGGTGGGCAGGAAGCAAAGATAGGTTGCATAAAAATGTCGACAAAAACTGAAAGCAGGGTTGTATTTGTTGATATTTTTAGGTTAAGAATCCCTTTGAATTGAAATCCTAGCTGCTCCTGTTTTAAAGATATCCACATTTTACCTAGTTATGATAGGACCGACTTTTGCGAAAGAGAAAAACATCCTTGTGCATTAAATATTCAACAATGTATGTGTGAGTAAATGTGTGTATATATATTATGTGAAAATATAAGTTTATGTAAGTTTTTAGCCGGTTTCAATCGTTTCCAAGCCGCACCACGTAGAGGCTACTTACTTTGCACCTCTTTGTTCTTTTTTTGGTTTTATTTTTTTATATTTTTTCTTGCTTTATTTTTTTATATTTGTTTTTTGTTTCCTTTTATTTTTTTTGTTGGCTTACCATATAATATAGTCACACATTTTAGTATTTAAATATTTTATTATTTAGTTAAGTTTTTATATATGCTGGAATGAAAATGTCATTACAGTTTTCTTCAGGCGACTCACAAAAGTTGGTTTATCAATCATATTTATTTTGAATCTATCCCAGAATTTAATGAATTCCCTATGAACTGACTTCCCGGCCTGCTCGGACCATAATCCTAAACCATCGTTATTCAAGAATGAAATAGATTGATTTAAATGTTTAAGGATAAAATGGATTTTGACAGTTTGAGAAATTCCAGTACTTTTCAAAGCTGTGCGGAGTTCGTTAAGATTTTTATCAAAATTACTAAGATCCGCTTGTTTTGCGGAAAACCATGTATTCACGATTTTGCTCATGGCTTTGAACGAGGCAATATATTTGGTATTGTTTTTACTGAGAGTTTCTTCCATACAAACTATGTTCGACATTTTTTTGTATGTGGAAGACACTGTCAGCAAAAAATAAATAATTGAAAAAAATCAACGAAATTTCTGGTAAC